ACGGGAGGCGTCGGAGAGGACGTTGTAGGCTTCGGAGAGGAGGGAGAAGTTTTGGGCGGCGCCGGGCGAGGGGTTCACGTCCGGGTGGTGCGACTTGGAGAGCAAGTAGAAGGACCTGCGGGTTGTTGTTTTGTTTCTGGTTGGCCTTTTGCGTCTTGTCTTTTGGACGTGGGAAGCTAGGGGGAGGGGGAGGGGGAGGGGAGCTCAACTTTTTGATTTCGCCGGGCGAGGCATCGTGGTGGATGCCCAGGCGCTCGTAGTGATTCTGCTTGGCAAAGTCGGATGCTCTGGTGAGGGAGGCGTGGAACCGGCGCAGGTGAGCGGTGGGGGATGCGCCGTGCAGAGTTAGTGGTTGGGCCGCGAGGGCGCGACCTGCAGCGAGACGAAGTGGCATGCCTCGTGCTTCATCACGATTTCTGTCCTGGTCCTTTTTTTTATTTGTATTTTTTTCGGTGGTTGTGTGCTGCGTGAATGTCGGTGGGCGGTTCGGTGGTGATGAAGGAAGGACGTTGGAGTCGTGTGTGGTCAAGGCAGGGTGGCGGCGGGTGGTGAGGTCATGGCGGGTGCTTTTGCCGGCCCGGAGACTGAGACTACGGCATGCAAGGTTATATGTATGTCCGGAGAACACCACCAGACGATACGATACGACTTGCGGCGTCAAAGTTGAAGTACAAACAAGTGCGCAATGGATAATTTATTTTGTACTCTACAACCGTGTCAATCCTGAAAATCTAGACTAGTGTTGTTCTATTCAGCTGCCATGTGGAAAAAAAAAAAAAAGGTGTGCATGCAATGCTGTCTAATAACCAAACGCCATAACCTACGACCCAATCGGCCGCCGCATGGGGTGCGCCTCCGTGTTAAACACCCATTCGTCGAGATTGATCACATCTTCGTCTTCAAAAGTAAGAAAAAAGTATTTAGTTGTTTCCGCAAGCCAGAATGTCTGCCAAAGTCAGCTCCATACATCAAACTACTCATCAACTTGGGGAGCGCAAATACTCACCTCCATGGAATCAAGCTTGGCACTCCCGTGCATACTCGCATCCTGAATGGAAGCAAACGCCAACTCCGTCTCTGTCTCCTTGACTATGCCCTCCCACATTCGCCATGCCGCGTCGCGCCAGACAGGATCCCCCGTCACGCGCCACATGTAGAAGACGCTTTCAATGCCTTCCGGTCTCAGCATGTACCTCCCGTCGTTGATCCGAAGAAACCCGCCTGGCAAATTCTTGCTGCTGCCTGCGGAGAACCTATCTTGTTCGTAGGGACACGGCTGGTCCATATTTTCGCACTTGACCAGCTCAGTTCCTTCGGGCATGATGTTGGTCGGGAATGAGTCGTAGCCCCAGACGCAGCCCGCGGTGAGGCGAGCGGCCAGGTCGACATAGTCGTTGCGTCCGACGAGCTTGCCGGCGAGGGCGTACATGCCGCCCACAAAACAGGTTAGATGCTGCATTTGCGCAGTGCTTTCTCGCTTGCCCGTAAAGGTATCCAGGTTGCCTGACATGAGGATGTCCTCGTCCTTGGGCGTCATTGGCTTGAAGAGCAGCTTGTCTCGGCCGGCATCCAAGGACAGGATTGTCATCTCGACATATTCCGGGTCCAGTCCGCCGAGCAGGGCGTGCATCTTGGGGAGGTACTCGTACTGCGAATCGGCGCCAGCTCCGAAAGTGAAGAAGCCATCCTTAATGGTGCCCTCGCGGAAATTCATATCCCATGGCCACAGACCGGGGGCCTTGGTGTGGTTCTGATTTTCATAAAAGAACTGCTTGACACGTTCCGTGGCATCGTAGTACTTGGCGTCCCCGGTGATTTGGCTGAGACGAGTGAACTCGACGCAGAGCGATCCGCTGGCGGCGCCGGAAATGCTGGTGTCGCCAAGGGTCTCTCCGTTCTCGGCCTTGGTGTAGCTGAGCCAGTGAGTCGGTAGGCGGTTCGGCGTGTCAAATGCCATGTACAGCGCATCGCCAAGCTCCACGGCCTTCTTTAGTAGTACCTCCTCTCCCGAGAGGTCGTAGGCCGACAATAGTCCACCCAGATATCGAATCGTTACCTCAAACACGTTGATTTTACTGCCGTCGGTCTTGGACCAGTTAATCTTGGCAACCTCCCTCACGGCATGGCGGAAATCATCCTTTAAGCCTAAAATCCATAACGAGTCGAGGGCGTCGACCAGCTGGGCTGACCACCCCGAAAAAGTAGTCTTGCCCTTTCCCGAGAGCGGCATCAGCTCATCCTTGCCCCACGCGTATTGCTTGTACGCATTCCAGCTCTTGACGAAGGCCTTTCGCACAGCCTCCCTCCGAGACTTGGAAGTATCATGGTTGTCCTCGGAGGCTGCTCGGGCTTGTACCCGAGGCAAGGTCTTTGGTCTTCCCGAAGGTAGCGGGACTGTCTTGTTCGGTGGGAAGTAGATCTTGGCCTGGCTCCAGTCAATCGTGCTGGGGACGTAGTCAATGGAACTGCCGCTAGGGGACTTGAACGGCAGGCGGGAGGGGTTGAAGCCCTGCCAGAGGATGATGGCCAGCAGGAAGAAGACGGCGAGGGTGATGTAGCGCCGGGCGGGCAGTCGTCCTTGGAGGCTCAGCATGGCGGGAGCATGGTTTGCCAGACTCTGTCTGGTGGTCCAGCCGACAAGGACGGACGTTTGGAGGCGAGGATTCGGGTTCGTTGACGGACGAGTCGTGGTTTGTGAGAAGTCAAGTGGTAGGAAGGCAAGGTCTTGGAGGTTGCTTGTGGACAATACGGAAGAGTGTCGGGCAGACAGCACTTGACCGTCCTCCGACGCCAAAGCACGAGCATAGCCCGACGGGCTCGCTCCATGCTCTATACTGGATACGGAGCGCGAAGTACGGAGCTCGGAGTAGATCAGGGTTAGACAGGGTTGGACGGGGCTGGTGAGGGCCGGTCAGGGCTCGTCAAGCATGTTGTAACTTACATGGGCAGGTGCCTGGTGGATGCTTCCGTTTGGAAGCCATCATTGGCTGGTCATTGGCTAGCATCAAGCCATGGTCTGTTCCCCAGGCCAGCCGTGTCTAAAGTTGGCAGTTCATCCCTGAGTCGTCAAGGACTCAATGTGCCGCTAAAGTCTGTTACGTGGATAATATCCAATAGGAACTTAATAACCAAGCAGGTACTGTTGCATAACATGATAACTAATTAGGCTGTTACAGGTGGTTTCAGGTAGATAGATCACATAATATCTAATAGGAACCTAATAACTAAGCAGGTACTATTGCATAACATAATAACTAATTAGGCTGTTACAGGTGGTTTCAGGTAGATAGATTACATAATATCCAATAGGAACCTAATAACCAAGCAGGTACTGTTGCATAACATGATAACTAATTAGGCTGTTATAGGTGGTTTTAGGTAGATAGATTATATAATATTTAATAGGAACTTAATAACCAAGCAGGTACTATTTGTAACAGCTAAGGTTCCTAAGGGATAAACTAGTTATAATTTATATTAGCAGAATAACTAGGGCAGTTAATCTAAGCAG